CCCAAACTGACTCCAGGGAAGGCCTGAGTAGATCATCTGGACCTTTCCAAGTAGTTCACATGGAATCCTCCTGTTTCTCTGCCTAATCTCTTTGGCTCCTGGAGTTAATCCCACCCTGCTCCTTCTCCCTGAGCCTCTTAGGAGGGCAAACGGGAAGGGTAGAAAGGCAGCCAGAACAGCTGGGGCTCAGCCTGCCCCTTGGGACGGTGTGTTTACAAGGGATTTTTCTGCCCCCTCCAGATTCCTTCTCTGGTCTTTTGGCAATGTCTCTGCCTGTCCCTCTGGCACTCTCTCTGTGTGGACTTTCCTCACTGCCCTGTCACCTCACCTCCCTCGTATGTTGAGGGGAGGTCTCTTGGTTCCTCTGGGACTTTCTATTGGTCTCCTTCCCCTCCCAGCCCCAGATTCCCTTTGCTGTGGGTCTATTCCAGCCACAGGAGAGGAGTAAGGGGCAAGTGTCCAGGGTTCTGGGTTTCCCAGGGGAAAAGCAAAGAGTTGAGCATGTGGAAAGCAATGAGCTTGTCTCCTTTTGCCTGGGACTCCCTCCCCATCCACCTCTTTCCTGCCTGGTCAGCTCAAACCTCACCTCCTCTGGGAAGCCTTCTGGATTGCCTCAGGACGCCCAGGGACTTTGGTCCGATCGCAGGATTGATCTCCATGTTTTAATTTCTTTTTAGCCCTCTGCTGCCCACACTCTAAAGAGCAGGGACCTTGGATGGGCCTGTGTTACTCACTTCTGCCTCCACAGCCCCTGCCAGAGCACAGGCCAAAGTCTGATGGTTTTGAAATGATGTGATTGAAGAGGGGAAATCTGGGATTGGAGAGCCAGTATCAAAAGGGAAACTGGATGGCGGAGTGGCTGGGGAGGGAAGAGTCAGCAGGGCTTCTCAGCCCAGCCCCTGCCTCCCCACCCGCCACCTGCCCCCACAGCGAGCTTCAGGGCTGACCTCTTCTCTTCCCCTCTTTTTCTCACACCTAGCTCAAGATCTCCTTCAGCGAGACTGCTCTGGAGACGACGTACCAGTACCCCTCCGAGAGCTCGGTGCTGGAGGAGCTGGGCCCAGAACCGGAGGCTCCCAGTGCCCCCGGCCCTCCAGCAGCTCAGCCTGACGACGACGAGGATGAGGAAGAGCTGCTGCTTCTGCAGCGGGAACTCCAGGGCGGGCTGCGCACCAAGGCCCTGATAGTCGGTGAGCGAGGCTCCGCCGCTCCGAGGGCGCCCCCTGGTGTTGGGGGCTGGCACTGCAGCCCAGGAGGGAAGGGAAGGGTTTAATGTTGGCGCTGGAAGGGGCTTGGCAGGACCTCTAGCGCAACCCACTCCTTTTACAGATGAGGAAACTGAGGCACTGGAAAGTGAAGTGCACATCAGGCCTCCAGATTCCAAGACCAGGGTTCTTTCTGGGCATTCTAGTTCAAAAAACAGGATCAGACAAGCTCCAGTTTGAATTCCGGCTTGTCTCTTGCTTGCGGTGTGTCCTCAGGAAAAGCATTTGACCTCTCTGGCCTCCATTTTTTCACCTCCGAAATGGGGTTAATAATAGCTACCTCCAGGAATTGTTGCGAGGATTAAGTGATTTTTGTGAAGCACCTAGGACCATGGCTGGTTACTTAAGCTCTCCCGGTGTTACTGTGAAATTAGAGTTATGAGAATGCCTGAAGGAGCCCTGGTGACACAAATGATTAAGCACTCGACTGCCAACTGAAAGGTTGGCAGTTCGATCCCATACAGCAGCTCCACTGGAGAAAGATCTAGCGATCTGCTCCCATAAAGATTACAGCCTAGAAAACCCTATGAGGCAGTTCTACTCTGTTACATGGGATCGCCATGAGTCTAAAATGACTTGATGGCACTTAACAACAACCCAAGCGTGCCTGGAACAGAATACAGTACAAGGTAAATGAGTGATGACTGCTGTTAGTAACAAGCACTCAAGTCAAAGAAGAGGTTATAGGATTTCCTATATGCCAATTGCCCTTTCAGCTTCAGGCAGGGATGGTGGGAGGCAAAGACCCTCACTCATTCTCTATCATTATTGCCTCCTCTTGCACAGATGAGTCCTGCCGGAGGTGACCCTCTCCCACACAGGGAAGATACATTGCCCTCCTTCCCAGAACTGAAGATCCTGGAGCCTAGAAGATCCTGAGCAGACAGACCCTGAAAATGAGCGTGGCAGGGAAGGACAACCAGCATCCCCCAACTTGCTTTTCTTGTCCTGTTTCTGGGGGCAGAGCCAACTGCCCAACTTTAACCCTAACCCAAAGTCCCGTGCTGGTGCATCTAGGTGATCCAACAGTGAGTCCCAAGCCCTGGAGAGGTGCACAGAGCCCACTGGGTGTGTGTGTGAAGATGGAGGACCCCCCCCCCCCGCCATATCCATGGGCAGGGACACTGTCCCCACAGGCTTCCTTACCCTCCCTCCCCACCCCTATCCCAGTACTCTCAGGATTTAAGCACTCATCTATGTCCCTGGGAGGCGTGGCCTTCACTCTGATCCCTAGATCACCACCCTTGTGTTTACAGCTCCTGCCTCCTCTGTTGACCACAGCCTGGTTTACAAACCCCACCAGCTCCCGGCCCCATGCTGCCAAAACCCCAGGTTTACAAGCCACACCCACTTGCCAAGTCCACGTGGATTTCCTCTCCCAGCCCTCTGCAGTTGCCTCTTTGGGAGTGGCTTGGGGCATGGCTTCTCCCACTTTTGCTCAGTATTACTGTGCCTCAGTTTTCCCCAAGAGGGAAGGCTAGGAATCTTGACTTTGTACTCCCAGATAGTTATTTAATTCTGTTCCTTAGTGGTTCACAGTTGAATTGTAAGTGTGTGGGGTGACTAAGGAGGCACCTCGCCTCTCCTTCCTTATCAACCAATATTGTGGTTTTGTTTTTTAACTTGCCGTAATAAAATGGAGCTCTCTCCAACTCTCCTGCTGCTTCTCTTTCTTTAGAAAAAAAAGTGTATGTGGAGGGAAGGCTCCGGGTTCTTCATTCCCAGCCTCTCCCATCTTCCTTTTGGCCGTGAAGACGAAGTGGTTTTGGGAAGGAAAAACAATGGGGGATGAACCAGGAACTCAGCACTGAGTTGCAGAAGGGGCTTTAGGAGAGCCTTGCATAGCTTTCACGTGCAGGACAAGCAGGAGATATGAGGAAAGACAGTTGAGGTGTTCACTAGACTGGAAGTGTCATGAGGGCAGACCATGTCAGTTGGGTTCACTGCAGTATTTCCATGCCTGGCACCTAATAGGCACAAAATAATTGTTTCTAGAATGAATGACTGAACAGCTGAATTAATAGATGAAAGGAGCTATACAAAATAAATCTGAAGCAGATGACACTGAATTAAAGGATTCCAATATTTAGATGCCGGCTGCAATGCAAGCAACCAGGTAATGTGTGACATACAACCCATGTGGCTAACGCAGGGGCTTTTACTCCAAGACTTGGGGTCATCAACAGTCAATCCCCTGAAATTGCTGCAAAATGTAGTGAGTATCTACAGAAGGCCAGTTTCCTGGAAGAGGGTCTCCTCTTTCATAGTCCTAAAGGGTTAAGAAGCACGGATAATTCATGGCTTTTGTACCCACAGTTGATATTAGGGAATTTTCTCATTCCAGAGAATCTATCTTCTATAAATGTGGAACATCTGCTATAGTTTACTTATTTTTTCAGTTGCCATGAAGCTGATTCTGACTCATTGTGATTTCATGTGTGTCAGACTAGAACAGTGCTCCATGTTTTTCAATGGCTGATTTTTTTTCGGAAGTAGATTGCCAAGCCTTCTCTTCCGAGGTGCCTCTGGGTGGACTTAAACCACCAACCATTCGGTTAGCAGCTGAGTACATTAACTGTTTGCACCACGCAGGAAACATTTTACCTATGAAGTTATTTATTAGCTCTCCAGGCTAGTAAAGACATGGTTGAGTAGTTAACAGTCTTTTTACCACTACACAGGATGCCTCTTCCAGTCTAATCAGAGGAGACTCCCCTTTGTTAAAAAACAAAATGTACTAGACAAATTAATCTTAAGCATATACCAAAGATCTGTGACAAGCAAGGTGTCAAAACTGTGAGCCACCTCAGAAAGGGTGTGAGTATGGAGCAAAACATAATTCTTACATTAGTAGCTAATTCAGTAAAGATCCTAATCATCTGTGACCCAGGAAAGCTGGGGCAGGAAGCTGTATGATGCCAGGGGTGCTCTCATCTCAGAAACAGAAAACAATGCATCTAAGAAGTCAATGATATGGATCCACCTGTGTCTTTTAGTGGAATAACAATTTTTGATTTCCCAACAATAGTGTCTGATTAAGTCCAATTAACCATAAGAGTATGACACGGGATCAAACAGGTCAGACAGCAGAGCTTCAGGTAACAAGTTTGCTTTCAAATAAGCAACCATCAGTGAATTTCTCAAGCTCTTAGCAGAAGTGCAGAACGCAGTTTGCCCATTCCTTAGTTTGTAGACTTTTTTTTTTTCCTAACGACTTTCTGAGCATCAAGAAAAGAGGACACCTTTGCTTTTTTGCCCAGTTCCAAGTTTCTTTCTGCCTGGAGGTCCTTCCCTATACCTAACCTGTATTCACTCCTGCTGGAGGTACCAGTCCTAGCAATGGTCACTCCTCATCATCACGGGCTAATCTTTCATAAGCATGCACCTGAATTTCCTATTTGAAATAGAACTCCTCTCCCCCTTACCTTGCTTTATTTTTGGTTCCATAGAACTTACATATTTTACATATTATTTATCTTGCCTGCCCCTATCCTCAAATGTAGATTCGGTAACAGATTTTTGTCTGATTTGTTCTCGGCTATATCTTCAGCAACTAAAACCGCCTAAAACAAACAGAAAAAAAAAACAAATCCATTGCCGTGGAGTCGATTCCGACTAATAGGACATAGGAGAACTGCCCCATGGGATTTCCAAGGCTGTAAATCTTTAGGAAACAGGCCGCCACATCTTTCTCCAGCAGAGCGGCTGGCGGGTTTGAACCGCCGACCTTTCGGTTACAGCCGAGCGCTTTAACCAATTAAAACCAGTTGCTGTGGAGTCTATTCCGACTCACACATTAGACACTCAGTATTTGTTGAATGAATGAGTGACGCATCCACGAACTGACCAGCAGGGGGCGATAGCAAGATTGGGTACAGGAGAAAACGGGGAGAGCAACTGCTACACTCCGAGCTTCTGGTACGGTTCCGCGAGGCTTGAACTGGTTCGGCCACCGTAGTGCTTAGGCCGGAAAAGTGTGTCCCCTTCCGGCCTCCAAAGTTCGGGAAGATGGCCTGGGTCTGTTGGAAACTGAACCCGAAGGCCGTAAGTGGGCTCCCTTGAGGAGCTCAGGCTCCGGCCTAGGAGTCCAGGCCTCCAAGCGGACTGGCCCCAGCTCGGCTCCTCGGGACGCTTCAGGGCCGGGAGCAGCGAGTGTAGGTCGCCATGGCGACATCGGCGGGGCTGGAGCGCTGGGTGCAAGACGAGCTGCACTCGGTACTGGGGCTGAGCGAGCGGCACGTGGCCCAGTTCCTGATCGGCACCGCTCAGCGCTGCGCCTCGGCCGAGGAGTTCGTGCAGCGACTGCGAGACACCGACACCTTGGACCTCAGTGGTCCGGCCCAGGATTTCGCCCTAAGACTCTGGAACAAGGTGTCGGGAGGGGTGGAGCGCGACTGGGGCGGGGCCTGGCATGGAAGTAGCAGGGGTGGGGGTGGAGCAGGGGAGGAGCTGTATATTTGTCCTCATAAAAACCAAAAACCAAATCCATTGCCGTCGAGTTGATTCCGACTCGTAGTGATCCTATAGGACAGAGTAGAACTGCCCCACAGGGTTTCCGAGGAGCGGCTGGTGGATTCGAACTGCCGACCTTTTGGTTAGCAGCCATAGCTATTAACCATTGCGCCACCAGGGCCCCTTGTTCTGGTGAGGCTGGCCTAAATGTCTATCGGGGAGTTAAGTAAGTTCAGTTCCCAAATCTGTATCTTTCGTCCGTTGTCACCTAGGTACTGTGCTAGGTGCTGGGCGTCCAGCTCAGTGGAGAAGATCGTGGAGAGGGCTTAAGTGTGTTGCACTTAGGCTGAGTTAAGGGCTATATAATAGTATATCTCAAACTTTAACGTGCATAACGATTCATCCAGGGCCCTTGTTAAAATACAGATTGCAATTCACTAGGTCTGGGGTGGAGTCTCAGTTTCTGCATTTCTAACTTGCTCCCAGGTGATGGGGATGCTTCTGGTGCACTGACCGCACTTTGAGTGGGAGGCTATAGAAGAGATATGTGGGAAGTGCTGTGGAAGGAGAAGAGGTAGTGACCAGGGAAGGCAGGTCCAAAGATCCCCTAGAATTTGTCAGGTAGAGAAGGGGGATGAAGTAATGGTGTAAACAGTAAGTTCCTGGAGGACAGCACTGTGTAGTCTTTGTATTTGTATTCCTCCCACCTAAGAGCCTGCCTTGTAGAAAGAATGAAAATGTTCCGCGTGTTCAGAGGATGGCAGATAGCCTGGTGTGGCTGTGGCATGTGGTGCATGGCAAGAGATGAGGTTAGAATGTAAGTGCCATGAAAGCAGATACTTTATGTATCTGTTGACCAGTTTATCCTTGGAGTCTGATACAGTGTGGGGCATGTGACAGGCCTCTGCAAAACAACCCTTGTAGCTTGTCAGCCTTTTTTGTAGGAATGACTCAATCATTGGGAAGAACAAAGCAGGGAGAAAGAGGCCGAGCAACTGAGAATTGGGCTTGAGAATGTAAGCTCTACAAGGGCAAGAATTTTTGTCTTTTGTTTATTTCTCTGTCCTTAGTCCCTAGAACAGTGCCTCGCACATAACAGACTTCAATAAGTGTTTGCTAAATGAATGACTGAGAGGACATTCAGAAGTTGAAGGGCCTCATTCAGGCTGAGGAACGTGGTGTGAAGCCATGGGAAAAAGAGAGGGTGAAGGTTGGCTTAAGATCGAGTAATTCCTCAAAGGGAAATGAAATTAGGCACAGGGCTAAGTAGGTGGGCAGAGGTCAGGAGTTGCTCACACCCCGTTATCTTCCCCTCTACTGATAGGTACCACGGAAGGTGGTGGTAGAAAAGCCAGCTCGGGCAGCTGAGCGAGAGGCCCGAGCCCTGCTGGAGAAGAACCGATCTTATAAGTTGCTGGAAGACAGCGAGGAGAGCAGTGAGGAGACTGTGGGTAGGGCTGGGAGTAGCCTTCAGAAGAAGCGTAAGAAACGGAAACACCTCAGGAAGAAATGCCACGAGGAGGAGGATGAAGAGGAAGAAGTGGTCTCGGAGAAAGAAAAGAAGAAGACAGGGTAAGTTAGAAGCAAGATGAGAGGGAACGGAGCGGGTGGATGATGCGACTATAAGATTTCTGGATGCCCTTATTTAATCTCCTGGGCTGGGCTGCAGGGGGAGTAAACAGCAGACGGAGAAGCCAGAGTCGGAGGATGAGTGGGAGCGGACAGAGCGTGAGCGCCTTCAGGACCTGGAGGAACGTGATGCCTTTGCCGAGCGCGTTCGGCAGCGGGACAAGGATCGGACTCGCAATGTCCTGGAGCGGTCAGACAAGAAGGTGTGTAGGAGCCAGAATGTTCTGTAAATCCCCAAGAAGATTCCTGGGTCAAATCTGACATTGGGTGTGATGCCAGAGATGGTGGGAAGACAAGGGACTGTCTCTAGTGGTACGTTCATCTTTGGGTCCTCTGGCTAAGGTACCTCTTTGCTGTACCTGCAGCCATAGGGATTCCTCACTGAGGGGATATTTCTTTGTGAGGGGGCACATAAAAATGATCTTTTGCGATTCTAGAGGGGGAATGGCTATGGGTGTGGGGACTTCTTGCCCTCACAGCCCTCCACTCTTGGTTTCTTCTCCTAGGCTTATGAAGAGGCTCAAAAGCGCCTCAAGATGGCTGAGGAAGACCGGAAAGCCATGGTGAGTCCCAGGGCCCAGGAAGCCAACGTCACAAGACAAAAGGAAATACTTTCTGATGGCGACGTTAGGGGAGGGAGAAAGGATACAAAAGAAGTGCAGTGGGGATGCTGATGGGATACCCAGGCCTCTGGAGGATAGGATTTGGTTGACAAGAGCCAGCTGAACCCAGAGGGACTTGGAGGAGACCAAAGGACGGAATTAAGTTGTAGAGGGAAGGAACCATGGGTGGGAACTACCTACAAACCCTCCTTCACTGTGTACTTAAGGACTAAATCACACTGTGTATTAGGGAGATGTGAGCCTTCCCTGTTCCTGGGATGTAATCAAAAGGTAGCTGCCAGGTTGTGAAGGGATGGCTAGAGGGCAGGGGCAGGGCAGCTGTCCCAGCTCTCCAGGGGTGTGGTGACCACCACCTCCAACTACCTTTCTACCACTTAATCCTTATATCCCCCACATGGCTTTGTGATCTCTCTATGGCTTCCCGAGTTGGTCTTCTCACTGAATAGGGGCAGAGACCCTTGTAATTTATGAACCAGACTTCTATGGTGCAAGTCTAGGTAGGGTGGGCAGTTTCCCAAGGGCCTGGTTTCCCAAGTAAGATCAGCTTAGATTTCTCAAAAGAATTTTGAGAATCTTGGAGTCCTAAGAAGGGCCTAGTAACCCTCAGGTCTTTCCCGACCAGTCCATCTCATGTCCCAGCCCAGAAAAGGGCTGTAGTCAAAGACTTCTGAGACATCTTTCAGTGCAGTCATAGTGCTTTCATTTGACTGAATTTAATTTTTTGTTTCTTTTTAAATTATGAAAAATTTCAAACAAAATAGGAAAATAGTACAAAATGAACATTCATACAGACTATTTGCATTCCAAAATTGCTAATATTGTACAGTGTTTGCTATGTCTATGTAAATGACGTTTGTTTTTTAACCATTTAAAAGAGTGGTAGCCCTGGACTAAATCAAAAGCTAAGAAGTTTCTTGAACACAACCAAACATTTCGAGAGACAGAGTAGCTGGGGCTGGGGTCTAGGAACCATGGTTTTGGGGGACATCTAGGTCAATTGGCATAACAAAGTTTATTAAGCAAATGTTCTGCATCCCATTGTGGTGAGTGGTGTCTGCGGTCTTAAAAGCTTATGAGCAGCCATCTTAAGATACATCAGTTTGTCCCAACCCACTTAGAGCAAAGAAGAATGAAGAACACCAAAGATATAAGGAAAATATTAGCCCAGGAGACAAAAGGTCCACATAAACCAGAGACTCCATCAGCCTGAGACCAGAACTAGACAGTGCCCAGCTACCACCAGTGACCACGCTGACGGGGAGCACAACAGTCTGTGACAGAGCGGGAGAAAAGTGTGGAACAAAACTCAAAATTCACATAAAAAGACCAGACGTAACGGTCTGACAGAGACTGGAGGAACCCCTGAAGCCATAGCCCCCACACGCTATGTTCTTCTTCATATAGTCCAGCTTCTCAGATTATTTGTTCAGTATACATATTGAGTAAGTATGGTGAAAGGATACAACCCTGATGCACACCTTTCCTGACTTTAAACCATGCAGTATCCCCTCATTCTGTTCGAATGACTGCCTCTTGATCTATGTACAGGTTTTTCATGAGCACAATTAAGTGTCCTGGAATTCCCATTCTTTGCAATGTTATCCATAATTTGTTATGATCCACACAGTCAAATGCCTT